CTCCTCCGTTTGCATGAACTTGTCCGCGAGATCAAGGAATTCGGCGATGGTCGTGGGCTGGTTGGCTACAATGTGCCATTTGAACTCCTTGTGCATCACTCCCATCTTGGCCGCCGCARGCTGAACTGCGGGGTCCAGGCGTGGGATCTGTAGGCATGCGTTGTTAAACCGGTTGATGTAGCTGCGGATGGGCTCCCCTTCCTTCTGGACCACGCCGAGGAGGCTCTCCTCGGTTCGGGGGCACCGCTTTGTTGGTTACGAAGTGCACGGTGAAGACTTGTACGAACTGGGCCCAGCTCCTTATTGACCCGGGGGCTAGGTTCCTGTACCAGGTGCGAGCCACTCCTTTGAAGGTGGTGGTGAAGGCTACGCACATACAGGACTCGCTGGCTCTCGCCAGGTGCATCTGGGACTAGAAGGCATCGACATGGTTGCTGGGGTCAAAGGACCCGTCATACTTGTCAAGTGGGGGGAGTTTGATGTCTCTGGGCATGGGGACTGCAAGTAATCCTGATGACAGGGGGAAGGGACTGAGAGGACAGGGGTAGCTTTTACCTCGTCCGAGCTCACTTCTTCTTTGCCTCGGAGCCTGGGTAGGACACGGGTTGCAGTTTGGCGACTTCCCCGGCGGCGCCTCTACTGCTTGGAAGGCCTAGCACTGGCACTGCTTGCCTCGGTGTTCCTGAGCTTGATGGACCTGGACTGTTGGGGGTAGTCCACGGCTAAGGGACTGAACCGGTTCTCGGTGTGCAGGAGCCCATCCTGAGGGTGCCGAGGTGATGCTGTTTTGACAGATCAGGTTCCTGATCCGTCGGCGTGTGGCGAGGCGGGGGCCACAGCTCGCTCTCTCCTGCCAGGGGATGAGGCCTGGCTCCTAGAGGGGCTCCGAGGCTGGGAGGCCTGAGCTTGGGGAGGCCGAGCTTGGGAAGCCTCCTGGTGGGGGCGCCCGCCTTGAGGGGAGGGCTTGGCTCGCCTAACGGCAGGGTGCCGAGGTGGGAGCTGCGACTGACTTTGAGGCAATTAGGGGAACTGCTTCTGGTAGTGGTATTGGGATATATGGTGCAGCATTTGCTGTTGGTAGATTTGATGTTGTTGAAGCTGCTACATTTGGGCTTGGATGGCCTGCATGCCGTGCACCAGGTCATCAAGCTGGTTCTGGCTAGTTGCTGGGGGAACAATGGTTGGTTGAGCAAAGGTGGTTCCAACAGAGGGAGGAAGGGGGACGTTCATGGCAGGAAGATTCACGGGCACCACTATTCGTGGCGCATTCAGGCTGGGGATCCCATCCACCAGAAGGGGGATGGTGAACTGTCTGATGCACACCACGGGGACTTGAATTTGTTCCTAGTGGCGTTCATCTCCGTGCTACGTCCGACATTGCTAGAAGAAGCCATGGGTGTTGGGGTTTCTTGGAAAAAAAGGTGTTATGAAAGTTTTAGAGGGAGGCTTTTAGAAGCGTTTCCCACAGACGACGCCAATTGATGGAGCGCAATCCGGTCGGTCCTAGCTATCAACGATCTTGCCTTTGACTGGAGCAAAAGGTGCCTGGAACGAGAAAGAAAGCGAGTAGCCTCCGAGGAGGAACCTGGTGAGAGTGCTCCGAAGCTCAAGTTAGTATTTTCTCAAAGGCAAGATAAAAAACCAGATGGTGCAAAGTTATCACGTACCTTTATTCTTGGGGGGAAGAGGGCCTTTTATAACCACTTCGTGCACTCACTCCCAAGCTCCTGTCAGGTCAGGTATCATTACCTTTGCACTTCTGCCTGTTCGGGTGTCATCACCTCTACTGGGGTAGACAACCGCCACTGCTCTCTTTGTCGGAGCCGTCTCTGTAACTGGAGTTGGCGGTGGCAGGTGGCCGTTGAAGTGCGGTTGTCAAGCATCAGATCCTAAGTCAGTCAGGTGCGCCGCCTCAGGATACAGACTCCTTTGGTGTCAGGTACGGTTGTTCAGTTCAGCGGCCTGGAGACGAAGTGCCGGAGTGGTGTGTGATGTGAAGTCTTGAGTTCGGATAGAAATGTGGCCCGAACTGCCCTGGGGTGGGCCAGTTCAGGTTGTTGCCCTTTGCGCTCCTTATAAGGTTCGGGGTCAAAGGGAGAGTTCAGTCTCATTTTGGGGAGCTCGGACCACTGGTTCCTCCTCTCGGAGCTCGCGCCTTGAGCGCACTGCCGTACTGAGCTGTTACTCCTGCCAGGTCACCATCGGTTGCTTCCACATGTTGGATGGCCAAGAGGTCGGGCCAAATCTTCCTCCATCAAGTTCCATCCATAAAACAAAATCTGTTTTTCGCGTTGCTCGCTGTCACATTAGCATTGGGAGTGTCTCAATCTGAAGCGTGAAGAAAATACCATGACCTCCAATTAACGTTCTGTGTTGCCGTGACATTCAAAACTCCACTATCAACTGGTTTGATACCAACTTTAATGAAAAGAAAAAAAAAATCTTAATTTATTGAAACATAGCAAAATATATCGATAAAAGAATATATATAGTTGTCAAGTAACTAACACCCCTTAAAAGCAAATGTCCCCTTATTCTTTCTTTTTCCTTGTTTTTTTTTTTTTCGGAAAATGCCCATAGATAATCAATTCGGCCCTTGTTCTTTCATCTTGCCCACTCAATTGTTATAAAATGGCCCCTTACTCTTTTAATTCTCGACTAAAAAACCATTGCACTGCAGACGCATGGTAAAAATAAAATCAATTGTTATCAAATGGCCCCACCTAAATGCGTTCAATCCAAGAGTCAAATCAATTCATTTCGAACTTTAAAAATATAATCAATTTATTATTTACAACTAAAAAATCTCACAAATTAGGACGCAAATCACATGGTAAAAATTAATTGAATAAATTTCTTTCAACTTTTTTTTATACAATTTAACTCTCTAATAAAAGAGTAGATTTCTCCACTAGGTAGTGTTCGATACAAACATGTATTTAGAGAGACAAACCAGGTAACGGATTGATTCACTCACAAACATGTATTTTTTCTTTTATGTAGCACATTTTATTTCATGTAAAAAAAGTGTTTTTTTCTTGGAGCTGTGATGAATGAATACTGTTTCCAGTAATCTTTATGTTTCTTTTATAATCGAAGTTATGTTACTACAACTGAATTGAAGATTTAGGCTCATAAATTTTTGTTCATTCAGCTTCAATGGTGGTATGGATCCGATAACCGCTCTCAAATGTCAATCCTAATGGCAACGAAATTTGATTGCAAAGTCGAGCCACCCGTAGATTTTTTTTTTTTCATTTTTAATGAAAAAGGAAAACTTCTAGGCGTGCAACATGAGTCGTTTAGGCCTCAATCGTTCAATAAATATAAAAAAAAAAAAAACGAGTCGTTTAGGCCCGGCCCGACTCAGGTTTAAATCCTACAACTTGGGCAAACAATTACCAATCTCTTATATGGGACATTTAGGCCCAAGTAAATGATTCTTGTGCGTTTTGTATCTGGGTCGGGCACATAGATGGGTACAAAACCGAATTGCTAATTTTCAAAATTTCAATGAGATGGGCTTTGGATTGGGATCGGGCCCATTTAGAAAGAATTTGACAATTGTTGAACCCATCCCGACGGACCGAAGTTGCACTCTGAACTCTGAACAAATTTCTTTGCGCGAATCCAACCGACACAGTTTGATTCGAGTTATAACTTATAAAGCAATTTTTTTTTAATCCTGCGAGTGCGAGTTAATAAATTAAAGAAACATTAATTAACATGTTTCAGTGCACTACCACACTGGTCCGAAGCTAAGAACAAAAAAGGCATTGTTATGTGGAGGTTTCTTTACATGATTTAATTCAACGAATGAAATAAACAAGTAACCATTAGAAGCATATGCACATACTATACTTTTTACCCCTGGCCCTTCCTTCTTTGGCATACCAACCAGTATATTCAGCTCCAGTGTTGATCATTGCAAGGCGAACAACCCTCCTGGGCAATATCAGTGATTTGAATTCCAGAATCGTAAGTCATCCCAGGCCTCCAGTCAGCAGGAAGCACTTTTGGTGCCCAGACCCATTTGCCGTCAAACCCTCCCGTCACCACTAGCCGAAACTGCAATGCCCCCATTGGCACCCGACTTGTATCCCAAACTGTCCCATACTTCCTGCTCATGTAACGCCAATTTGAAGAACCCACCTGCATGATTGAGAATATTAAATGATAAACCATGTTCATTAAGTCAACTCCTGTAATTAATTTAATAGGCCTGAGGGTGATGATGAATCTTTGCCCCACCTGAGCTACATCAACCGCAACAATGTCGGTCTGGCCACCTTGATATAGCAACTTTATTGCTAAATAGTGTGGCCTTTGGCTCGTCTCTTCCACTCTTACTGACAATTTTTGCTTTTTATAATCACAAGGTATCCTGTTCCATACAATAAAATTAATCGTCATTCACTTTAGCCATATCATTAAAATAATTATAACACCAATAATGGACACTTAGAAAAGGTGCTAATCCTAATTCCTATAAGAGTGGCGAACCCTCCACAAACACTCAAATCCATCCGCTACTGGGGTTGACTAGTCCTATACCAATTTCGATTTTGCTATGCCCACCACCACCCAGTTTGCTCCCTTTACTTAGCAACTAACAAACCGAAGATGGATGATCCCACTCTGATTAGGAGTAAGAAGGAAATCCTTTTTTATTTTCTCCAAAATATGAGATTGGTTTTACATTGATCATTTTATCAAACCCCATATAAAAATCCTCTTTATATTATTTGAAAAATGTAGCACAAATAAGAAAAAAAAAAAAAGGCGTTGTCCCTACAAACTTATCTTAATGAGGGTGGGTGGGTGCATGCAACGAATCCAATATGCCTATAAAGATACTTTCAGAGAGAAAAAAAATTATACCATTCGTCCCTATCCACACGGTTAACGAAATACGAATGCCTCTCTTTTTCTTTCTTAATTCAATCATCTTTTTCAATTACCTCTTGTACTCTACGTCAAGAATCCCGAGCTTTAAAATGTCCCTAGCCATACCCTGATGTGCCATCGCCGAAAAAGCTCTGCTACTGAGAACCAAATCCGTTTGGTTGTTTCGATTAAGATCGGTCAAGATCACTTTAGTCCCTCCTCCGTTGCAGAGGGTCTCGTTCTTGCACCTTATCTGTCACAAGTCAAATCCCTTAAGACCTTAACTATAAATTAAAAACGTCATAAGAAGGCCGAGAAGAAAATTCTGAGTAACAAATCTATTCAATCAATCACGCACATACCTGAAAGCACGCCCCACAACCAACTCCATCTCTATAAAGCGAAGAAACACCAGCTGCAAGGTATCCGGCGTTAAAACTCAGAGCCAGGGAACCATACCCGCAAGCCCCAGCTGCATTGAATCAACAAAACAATTAGTACCCAATTAAATATTTCAGAGAAGAAATGGAATCCAGGTCAAGAATAGAAGAAGAACAACAACAAAATTAACAAAACTCACAGGAGAGAGGAGCAGAGGAGGAGAAATAAGCGGCCTTGGTTTGATGCACACATCGATCGCAAGCAGCAGCAAAGGAAGAAAGGAAAAAGAAGAGAAAACAGAAAAAGAAGGCCATCTTTATGTGAGAGAGAGTGACGTGAGGAACAAGTCTTGGAGTGGGGATGTACTTATAGGGTAGGGCGAGGAGAGTAGAGTAGTGGTAGTGGACAACAGGTCCTCTCCTCAATAAAACGTGGACGAGTTTTAAATGGACATTTGGTAATAATTTTGGGGATGGGAGATTGGCATAGGCGAAGAAAAGTGACAACTGACAAGGAATTTGCAAAAACGCGGTGGGACAGAGAAACATTTGCTGGGCTCACCGCTCACCGAATCCTTGCACGCGCACAAAACAAAAACAACTGTCCTTGACGATCATAGGTCATGGTTTCCGACCGGAAAACCGGAAATCGGTCCATTTTACCCCAAACCCTTATTTCGCCCAAAACCGATCCAGGTAACCACACCGTTCAAGCCGTTTTTATTTTCTTTTAATTTTTTATTATTTTTTTGTTTGACTATTTTTATTTTTATTTTTTTATGAGAATGGGCCATTTATTCGATTTAAACGCTCAGACCGTTCAACCGGGAACTAAACCCTTAGGGACAGTGTATAGATCGACACTGTGCCATGCACATCAAAGGGAGGCTTGACACATGGTTTGACCCAAGCATAACCGTTCACCATGCTAGCCTCATGTTTAAGTTAATTGAGCTACCTTGTTGCCTATAGTGTACGGGTGTGCTCTGATCTAGTGGTTGTCTACCATCATCGGCACACAAGTGCCTTATATCATCGGCACAATATATGGCTCACATCATAGTGATCCCCCTTTGGCACATAAGAGACGCCTCCCATAGATCAACAAGAACTAAAACAAAACCTCGATTATGATCTAGTGTCACTGACCTTGGTAGAGCCATTTATTGTGCTACATATGACCCTCGCGCATACGTAGGCTTATCCCGACCACAGGTTTTCTTCCCTGCAAATCAACCCGTGACAATTTGTTATTTGTTATAGATGGATTAGGGGAGGGATTGGAGTGTGGAGGGACCCTAACCCTATTTCGATTACTCTGTGGTCTCTTCCAACTTGCGTGTATTATGCGATACTTACCTTTGACCGAACGTTCTTCCTTCTTAGCAGCTGGAGCGCAAGACTTCTGTTTGTCATGTGTGATTTTATTAAAATTGTCAACAAATTACGTAACGCGAAGTAATGGTATGAAGTATGAATTTGTTAATTGTGGTTTGTCCCAAATTGCTTGTCTTTTGGGCAATCGGCATCCACTGCCACTGAGGGGAAGGGAAGGGAAGGGAGATGGATTCTCATTATATTCCTCCATCCCGGAAGTACATACTTCTGTGCTTTCAACGTGGATGTTTAAGCCACTTCCTTTAATAATAAAAACAAAGTTTTAACGAAACAAGAGGCGTGGCTGAATTACAATATTTTTTTTTCTCAAAATAAAGAATAAATAAATATTTATTGTATGAGTGGCTTAAACACGTATTTATTGGCTTGAGATAAGAGATTAGAGGAATATTTGTCGTTTTGTGTAATGTAGGGTTAAGGCATTTATGTGATTTTGCTATTAACGAGTGGCAGTGGAAAGATAAGAACCATGTCCGAATTTCCTTATTGCCAAGTAAGAGGAGCAATACCAAAAAGATAATAATTGAAGGAAACAAAAGCTATGGCCATACAAAAAATAACCCTTCATCTTCTTCATTACCACCTCCAACCTCAACCTCCCTATCCTATTTGTGCCTCTCAAGTCCGAAGTTCAAACTCCTGCTTTCACACACAACAATACAACACATGGTTATCTACCAAAAGGGCAAAAGGCCATCAGAAAAGAAGTTATGTATCAAGGTCAAAAAATAATACCAGATGTAATGAATTATGTCATATACCAACATTGGAGGCACAACTAGAAGAGTTTGACGATGCAGTTGCAGTGTAGGCCAAAGGGGGGATGGTAGATCATGACCATTGGCTTTAAATCTGAGGGGTTTTTAGCCCATCTATGATCTACCTCAATAAAAATCTAATATATTTTGCAAAAAAAAAATTGAAATTGAGCATTTTATTTTTAATATTTTAAAGAATAAGCTTTGATATGAGTGGTAATCTGTAGCTTATCATTCCTTTTTTTGGACGCACAAAACCAGCAGTTTCTATCAGAACTTTGACCAATCAAATATCCCCATGATTTTTTATGAATACCAGTTGATCGACTACCACTTACATTACATGAGGCTGTCGAACATTGACAGTCAAAGGGGAAAAAAAGTTGGCTATCAAAATTTGACAGCCTTGATTGCAAACAGAGATAGAGTTCTTCCTGTATGACATGTTAATTCCTCCAGACTCCTTATAAAATATCCCCATGATTTTTTATGAATACCAGTTGATCGACTACCACTTACATTACATGAGGCTGTCGAACATTGACAGTCAAAGGGGAAAAAAAGTTGGCTATCAAAATTTGACAGCCTTGATTGCAAACAGAGACAAAGTTCTTCCTGTATGACATGTTAATTCCTCCGGACTCCTTATAAGATTGTCGGTGCTGGACAAATTGTCAAAAGGAATAAACAACTTTGATATGATTACATGAAGCGCTGGTTTAAATTAACCCTTTAACTGCCTCTAAGAGTACTCAGCAACCTCCATTTGTTGTATATTGTATGAAGATATAAATAGGATAATAGGCAGGGGTTTGCTCTACATCGACCCTGAGTTGTGATTTGGGAATATCATTATTATGGATATTTTAACGTTGGTATCAAGTGTCATAAAAAGATCTTTATTCTCTTTCCTCTCTCTAAAGCTTTGATTTGAAAGAATGTGGGTGGGGGGTTGGGGTTAGAGTGAGTGTGAGAAATTGTGCCAAAAGGGACATGTGTTCACATCTTAATCACAACTTGAACTGATGGTATCCATGAATTATGTGAAGTAAACCTTATCCTGAGAGGTGGTTAGCATAGAGCATTCAATAATAGCGTTTAACCCATATATATGCACATATTTTCTGCTCTGCAATGACAAAAATGTCAACATCCCTTCACTTGGCAAGTGATACTGTTGTTTAAAATTGAAATTGAGGGAAAGTATGACAAGGTGATTTGATTAAATTCAATTGTGTATGGGTGAGGGGTCACATTAAGATGATTGTTACATTAATTAAATGATCTGATTGACTTGGAATGTATTAATTGTTTGATTATAAATGCTGCTCTCGCCTCTCGGATACTGAGATATAGCTTGTGATGAAACTGTGCAAAGGGAATCTCTCGCCTTCACCTACTATGTTATATATTTCATCCTATAATTGTTCCATTTTTGCAGCTTAATTAGTTCACCACTCATCCTTTTATTTTAACCTTTTTCGGTGCATTCTAAACTTTAACACGACGACGATGAATGAAACAGCAATCAATATTATATATAAAATACAGGGTAAGCTGAGAGTCAACATCTTTTCCCAGATACGACTGGGGATGCAATTCGGGCGGGGATGGGGCAGGTCAATTGGGTTTGAGCGAGCCTATGACATGCCCGTGGTTTTAATTGCCAATACACATAACAAGTTGACAATCTGACCTGAAACATAAGAGACCAACACTTTGTTTATACTTAATACATTGGCTAATTGTCTAAAATTCACCATGTCTTTTTAATATTTCTCTTAAACCTATCATAACTTTTCAAAACATCTAAAACTCATCATGTCACTAACTTGATGTTAAATGGGCTAACAGTTGTTAATATATTACTATTTTACCCTTCAAATAAATAACAAAAAATACAAGACCCGTATGAGAAAGCATCTGCCCTGTCTTTGGGCAAGTACAATAACCTTCCATCCACCGAGAAATCGACGATCGATCATATGTCTGCCCGGTGGAGATTATCACTGGATCTCTCATCAAATCCAATGAGATTAGGCAGCAGAAATCCTTCAGAATTGTAAGGAAGGTCTCACCAATTTCCTGATAAATAAGACCCTTGCATGCCTTCTTTTGATTCCCAGAACTCATTTCTTCTTCTTCTTCAAATCCGAAAAGCAAGAATCTGCAATATCTAGTGAGCATGAGAAAGCCATTGAGTACTGATACAGTTGGCTCAACATCCCCTTCGTTATTGTAAATGTGCTACTCTAGAAACTCAATCTCATTAGCAACGACAGAGAGCATCTGAACCAGTGCGGCGTCACTGAGCTAGACCGAAGCTAAGAAAGCCTCTAAGGACGATGATCTTCTTCTTTGCAAAGAGGAGAAAATAGCAGTTGATGCCATACAAGTTAAGGATTCAAAACCCTCGCTTCCTTTTTCTCTCCTCCTCCAAACGAAATGAGAAATCAACCTCAACCAAACCTTTTCCCAATCTCCTCTCCTCCTTGATGTGTACGATCTCTGTTTTATCTGATTTTATAACTTGGGATTGCCATATTCTTTTAACTGGTTCACTCTTCATTTTTGCCCATTTTCTTTCATTTTGCTCTGGCATGGCATCAGACGGAGATTGAATGGGAGCGATTGATAATTGAACAACTAATCCTCTAAACAAATTAATTGATAATTGCTGGCAATGGGAGTGATTGAGTAGATTGAATGCACAGATGATAGATTAGAACCCATGCGGATGGTACAACGAATCTTCCTCTAATTCCTTTGTCTTACTTAGGAGGAGGGTCCATCCTTTGCATAGTATATGTAACGATGGTTGATAAAGACTATATCATTCATTGAACTACTCTCTGCCTCTCTCTCTCTCAGCAGATTTGCGAGAACCAAAGTTATTGAATAGCAGACGAATACGTTAACGGCCATTATTTTTTTTTTTCTTAATGCTGGAGCTGGACTACAAATGACTCCATCATTTTCACTTACCCACCACCCACCTTGCCATATTTTCTCATTTCCACTTCTCCATTGCATTAATGGCAACCATTATGCCTATACATGTCATCTGCCCTACTACTTGCCCCTCATTTCCACTTCTCCACTTCTCTTATTCGCTGCTTTACGTGAGGACACCCTCTTACAGTCCATAGCAGCCCAAGTTGCCTCCCTTAATGGGTCGGCTGGTTATCCCACAAGACTGATCTACTAAACCCCAACACCTTCATCCTCGACGTATCATTCTAGCCCGGCTTGGGCAGAGGCCGCAGAGCCAAGGCAATGCCAATGAGAGTGCTTTTGGTCGGATTCCCGACCCCAAGGTCGTACTTACCCAGAAGGGCATGTAGGAAATTCTGAGAAACAGAGGAAGAGTGAAGATCGGTAGAGAGAGAGACCCTAAATGAGCATTTTTTTCTCTAATTCGCCAGTCAGGGGTAAATTGGTCATGCGAATTGTATTTATGCTGATGTGGACAACTTCTTTTAATGAATATTAAGGGTGCTTTAACAGAAAGTGAGTTTTAGAAAATAAATCTTACTGACATGGTGAATTTTAGATGTTTTAAAAAATTATGATAGATTTAAGAAAAATACTAAAAAGTCATGATGAATTTTGGACAATTACCTTGATACATTTATTTCAGATAAGGGCTTTGTGTAAGGCTAAAACACAGACGTAAGTTAAGTAGTGGTGAACATGAGAACATTCAAGGCCTTGATACAAACAATAACGGAAAACCTCAATTTCCTTCTTATTTCATGGTAGCTGAGAGGGGAGAAAGAAACTTCAGTGGTTTTTCCAAGTTTTGGTGTCGACCGGCGGACTGGGCACTGACTTCCGGCTTTCCATGCTCTACACTTTGGGCCAGTCAATCTTGGCATAATAACATTAATGTGTCTTGCTATAGCCAATACAGTTACAGGCTACAGCGCACTTGATTAGTTGGAACTTGGTAGGTCTCGGTTGGCGTTATTGGTTGGAGATACAGAGAGGTGGGCCATGAATGGTGACGGTGAGAATGACTTATATACAAAAGTACTTTTAGTGTTTTAATTAAGGCAAATACTATGCCAAACTATCAAATCTTAAAACAAAAGTAAATGCATTCTCCCACATGAATTGATTTTCTTGTTGCCAGTTTTAAAAATACATCAAAACTATCTGGTTTGAAAATAGATTATTCCTCAAAATAAAAACAGAAACATGTTCTTGATTGTGTCTTTCTGTTTTGTTTTCAAATGTTTGAAGGGTGAAAACTTGTTTTTATTTTGAATATCATAATTTTGATGGTTTCAAAAGCATGCTTTGTTTTTTAAAACAAATATAATTTTATTTCCACTTCCCAAAATGTACTTTTGTTTTTGTTTTTTTTTTTTTCTGATGTGGAAATTTTGTAAATAAGAGAAAACCAAAGCATTCACATTGTAAACAAAAGCATGATATTAAATAACCAGATGATAACGAGTTGGGATCTCCACACATCTCACCATAAGATTAATTGGGACCCACCATGTTGGGACTTGTTGGGATGGTTTTCTGTTGGGAGGAGATCTGAATACAATACATAATGAAAACATCTTTAAATTACAAATCCAAGAACATGTTTTTCTGTATTTTTTAAGAATCAATTTATTTTCAAACCAGTTGGTCTTGTTTTGTTTTGTTTTCTTTTTCTTTTTTGAAACTTGAAACAAGAAAAACAATTCACATTAGAGAAAACTGCTTTAGTCAATAAACTTACCTCACCTTGAAAGTTCAAGAAAATTTCAAATGAGGTTGCAATGGCTTTAATGTCAAATTTGATGAATTTTCCAATCTTTGAGGTTCAGCTTCTCAAATAATTAGATGGATGTTTGTATCCTAAGATATGAAGTAGCGAGAATTAGATGGCTTCGGAGACTTACGCCCTCGGATGAGAAATTCTACCCAGAAGGCCAGAAACATATCGATTCTCCTGAGCGGGCAAATACAAACAACATTTTAGCTCAAAGAATCCTGAAGTGATTCTGTGGAGTGATGTAAACAGAGCCTAAAAATTACTTGTTTGGGGGGTTGCATTCGTCAAATCTACATTTCCTTTAATCATCCTCACATTTACTCTTACAAACTGTACATGTCAAACATCTCCCATGACCATGAATGAATAAAAACATACAATTACGGGAAATATTTCCAATGTGGAGATGTGCGTCTTCAACAGGTAAAGACCATTCTGTGGGAAGGAAATCCCAACTTGCGTTTATTTATGTGTGTTACATTGTTATTAGCTGAACAAAAGTGCATGTAGGGGATTAGGACTCGAGAGCAGACCTATTCGTGGGTCGGCTGGGCCGGGCTTTTTCTCTAGATTAACAGAACACATTCAGGCCCAAGCCTAAGCCTGACCCCTATTATCAGGCCTATGTTTTGAGCTTGAGCTCGGCCCTCATATAAAGCTCAAATCATGGGCTTGAGCCTGAAGCCCAGATAAAAAATTGGAAAAATATATGTTTTTTATTCAATAAAAAATTGATTTATTATATTAAAAGACCTTAAAACCCAAAAATAATGAAAAATCTCACTATAACTTGATAAAAAAATAAAAAAAGAGAACATAAACCATGAAAAGAACATATTATCAGGTTGGGTGTAGACTAGGCTTTTTTGAGAAAGCCCAAACCCAATCCAAAAAAAAAGTTGGGCTTGAAATTTTGGGCCTAAACCCAAGTTCGCAGGCCTAAATTTATTTCCAAACCTGACTTAAAACGGGCTGGGCCGTCAAGATACACAATCCATGAATAGGTATACTCTGGAGATCCATATGACCGTATACAAAGAATTCCTCTATGTATTTTCTAGGGCTGCTCATGGGTCGGGTTGGGTTGGTTTATTGGGATTTTTCCAACCGGCCCAACCTGGTCGGGTTACCTGAAATTGAAACTGAAACCGACCCTGTGTTAAGCAAAATCGACCTGGTTGGTTTGAGTTGGATTGGGTCGGTTTGGGTCGGCTTCGGCTCTAAGTTCAACCATTGGTAATAAATTGGTAGATTGGACGTCAGAGAAGTAGCTAGCAACATCATCCAGCAAGGAAAGCACATAAATTAAGAGAAAATAGGCCAATAACTTTGTGAAGCAGGATCACCCCCCAATCAAGTTATCAAGAAAATAGAAAGTCAAACTATATTAGAGAAAGAAAACTTATATTTGTATATTTCAAGAAACCTTCTAATCTAAGTAAAAAATGACACCTAATTCTAATTGTAATTGGTTGCCTATATGAGTAAAAGACCATAGAAACTAGGATCCATTGATTCTTTTCTTTAAACTTTTCCAAAAAAATTCCTTGTCTAGTTGTCTTATAATACTTGTCATTAATGTCATTCCTAACTAGAAGACTCGAAATTAAGTTAGGTTGTAACTAGGATAGATACAACTTAGTTAAGTAGGAACTAAGTAGGTTGTAAATACTAACTAGGAACTAACTACTAACTACTAAGTCGGTTCGGTTCGCTTTATGATTTTTTACAACCCGAAACCGACCGATGCTGAAGAAAACCCGACCGACTCGGGTTGGGTCTTCTTATGAATAGCCCTAGTATTTTTCCTTTTGTCTCTTGTTGAGAAAAAACCCTTGAGGTCCAACCAAATATATTTTGAGAGTCATTTATTAAAATACCCCCTGTAGTTTTATGAACTTATAAAAACTTATCTTATAGTTTGTATTTTACTAAAAATCCTATACAATTTGCAATCAATTTACTTAATTGACCTTCCATTTATCTTTCAAAAAAATTGGCCTTCCATTAGATTAAAATAGAAAATGATAGTTTTAACCCTAATATCCAATCAAATAAATTTGATCAAAAGAAAATAAAAACAAATTTCCATTTTTCCCTAGTAAAATACGAACAACCACTCTATTTTTTTCTATTTGGTCAATTTTGTTTTGAAAAATTTCCCGATTAGTACCTTGTACTTTGGGCCTAGTGCCACTTTGGTCCCCAAACTTCAAAATGCGACAATTCAATACCCAAACTTTTAAAGCATGACAAACCAATACTTGCCATTAACTAGTTGTTAATCAACCGTTAAGTGGCATTTGAAAAGGCACCTTCAAGTGTTATTTAATTTTCTTTATCAACCATCTAAACGTTGACAAAAAATTAACAATCCCAAATCTTTGCATTTTCCATTCAAGAAAGTTGGGGTCACGTTTGAGTAGACATTCTGATGACCCCAACTTTCTTAAATAGAAGAAACAAGGATTTGAGACTAATAATTTTTTTGTCAACGTTTGGATGGTTGATAAAGAAAGTTAGATGACACTCGAATGGCATTTGTATCTTTTTCAAATGCCACTTAACAGCTAGTTAACAACTAGTTAACAATAGGTATTGGATTGTCATGTTTTAAAAGTTCGGATATTGAATTGTTGAATTTTAAAGTTTGGAGACCAAAGTGACATTAGGCCCAAAGTACAAGATACTAATTGGGAAATTTCTTTTTTGTTTTCTATACAAAAAAAATGTTAAAGATACTTTAGTAATAAACAACCATGGATCCATACATTTGAACACTTTTTACTCAATTTTAAGGTACTTTTGAAATAAACAATAATGGGTTGATGACCTTAAACATTTTCCAATTAGTTTAGTTAATCATATTACTATTTTCAAATGACGAAAAAAATAACTCTTAATAAAAGATTGATTAAGTGGATAGTAGGAATGGCAAGAGGGCAGGGGTAGGACCGGGGTTTGTCTATCCTGTACTTGACCCCGAATTCAAATTTCCCACCCTGTCCCTGCCCCAAACCCCGATGGGGCTAAAAACCCTATCACCATCCTTGTCCTTGTAGGGAACGAGGATCCCGGATTTTGTCCCGCCCTGCCTCATTCATTCTTGTTTGTATACTTATTAATTTATTATTATTTTTTAAATCTACTTAGAAATCTTTTATATTATTTAATATAATATAAAATAATATATTAATAATTGCAGGGTGGGCAGCCCCTAAGGGGACGGATGAAATTGCCACGTAGTAGATAAGTTACAAACTAGCAGTAAATGACCCTTCTTTTTTGGCTGACCGTACATAAAGAATCGGCCACGTTTCATTGTAACGGCTCTTTTTCACAAACACTTGATTGCCTAAAAAGAAAAATAAAGGGGGTTGGAGAAAGAACCCAACCAAAGAAGAAGAAGGTCGGTGGGTGTGCTGTCCAGTCCGGGGTAGAGTGGATCCCAGCCAGTGTCTTATTTTTTTTCCCACTCTCAGTTTACCGTTACAACATGAAAATGAAATGAAACCCCAGATCATGTCTTAGCTGTTCTTCCGCTCTCGCGCTCTCTCATCATCTATCTGCTCCGGAATCTCAATAAAGCATCTCCGCATCTGCATTTTGCAATGACGGTCGTGACCACAACTAAAGCTGCCGCAGTTGTCCCTTGCAAAAAACTCATGAAGTTCGGGGCTTCAATCTTTCGCAGGGGCTTCAACTCATCCAAATGGTTTATTTCTAAACAACCCTTCTTTTCTTATTTTTATATTAATATTTTTCAGTTGTTAATTCACTGAAATAACAATACAGCAAGACAATGGCGAAACTGGCCACGGCCAGGATAAAGCTTCTGCGGAACAAGAGAGAGGTGGTGGTGAAGCAGATGAGGCGAGATGTTGCCCTGCTTCTTCAATCTGGCCAAGACGCCACTGCAAGGATCAGGGTATTCTTTCACCATATCATATAAGGGTTTCTCTTTGAATATTGTTCTTTATGTTTTCATCCTTTTTTTTTCCTCCGCTTCTCATTCTTATTTCTTGCAACTTTGTTTACTTCCTTATCGTAACTGTAACTTTAACTTTAGTAGAATGTTTACTTGCTTGGGGGAGGATTTTGATCCCATTCCCAGGTTTGGATTCCACACTCACCTGGGATGCCTGACCTGGACATAGAACTCTATTTTTATTTTTATTTTTTTTTCCGGTGGGTAAATTGAACATATCAACATATCATTAACTAAAATCATTAGCACTTTTTTTTTACTAATTAAAAATAAAAAGAAAACAAAGGGAGATGTTAGAACTTCTGTCCACGATGCAGGTCATGAGTCATGACTAATGCCATGACTAATTTAAAAGTATCCACAGATGTCTGATGGTTATAACCTCTAAATAGCATATTATTAAAGAATAAATACGCTCCTGGGTCCTGGGCTTATACTTGTAGATTCTTTAGTGACATTATGTTGAACATATGGCATTTTGGTTTGGAAGACTTAAGAAACTTCATGTTTCTTGTGAACCATATGAATGGTCAAATATCTCCACAGAAAACATAATAGATATTGTTTTGATATCTGCTGAAATAGAGCTGAAAGTAAAATGCAAAAAGGACTCCCAGCTTAATCCAGGGAATACTGGCATATATTGTATGTATTTGTACCAGACCAATAGCAATCTGCTACACTATTTAAACAAAAAATCACTTTAATTTTGAAATGGAAAGAACAGGCTGGTGTGGCAGATTTCTATTGATCTGGTACAGAACCAAGGTACAGAGGATGTGAACTTGTAAAAAATAGCCACCACAATGCCTGTGCTGAATCATTCTGCAAATAAGCAGGTTGCCATTTACTGAAATGTTGAGTGAGGCACTTACTGAAATGCTTTTAAATTTTTGGCCTCCAGAGCTCGTGCCATGGTTTGGGATTTGGCCTAGAATTCCCTATCCGTTTACAGACTATAAAGAGCATCATGAGTTTGCCAGTTTGGTGCAAAGAAAGGAAAGAAAAAAAAGCTTCCGTCTGTATCCGGTCCGCTCCTCACAAGACCCTGGGTAGTTGGGACCAACATTGGATAGTGTCTGTTTATGTTCAGTTTAGTGACTGACTGACTTCCACTATCAAATGTTTTGTGAGCTTTTTAGGTTGAGCATGTGATAAGAGAGCAGAATATTATGGCAGCAAACGAAATTGTTGAACTCTTCTGTGAGCTAGTTGTGGTACGACTCCCAATAATTGCAAAGCAGAGGTTAGTACATGGTTTACTTTCTTTTCCTTGCACATAAACTTCATACGAAAGTTAGTTCTGATTTGAGATCCATATTTGCAGGGAATGCCCAGCAGATCTGAAAGAAGGAATATCTAGCTTAATTTTTGCAGCTCCAAGGTGTTCAGATATCCCCGAGCTTTTACACATTCGAGATATATTTGAAAAGAAATATGGTAAAGAATTTGTATCTGCTGCAACTGATCTACGACCTGATTGTGGTGTAAATCGAACAGTAAGTGTTTTTATGGCGATTCCTGTTTGCTACTATTGCTTCTTCATGAAAAAACATCCTGAATTCTTAAACAGTGGCAAATAATTGAGTCATGGTTATTTTCAGCATAGCTTTTTTAGGCAATGCATGCCTTCCCTGAGAAATAAATCAGCACTAATCACTGGGATTTATAGGATGTATTTGAAGCTCCATTATAGAGACTCTAGCCCAAGATAAAGGATCCCAATAAATGTTATTAAGTAGATTAAAAAGTCACCTAAAGAGGAAATCCTCACTCCACCCAAGGAAGGATGTTGTCATCAAGTTAGTTTTCTTTTCTTTTCCCAAGGACATTGTCATGATTTTTTTTTTGCATTGTCTTGGACTCTTTGTTCATCCACCTAAGGAAGGATGTTGTTATCATGTTAGTTCCATTTAGATGATTCTATATGTATTGTTAAATTTCTTACTAAAAATTTCCTTTAATAAAAAAATATTGACTACACTTTTACTCTTTTTACTCCTGTTTTTAATTATTTTTTACCTTGTTAGGAACATTTAATTATATCAAACTCAATTAAATATTTGGAGCAGACATCATCATCATCATCATTATTATTATTATTATTATTATTATTATTATTTTTTTATGAATAGATGCCCGAAAATTGTCTTATTGATTTTAAGTGATCATTATTTTAGTCAACATAAAAAAAGAAAATTAAATATGTTCTTGAGCTCATAATTATCATATTCCATAAGAGAAGGATTTGAGTGATCCTTCTCTTACTGTGTCCGCCTCTTGGAGTGAAATCAATGGTTATCTTTCTCCTAAAAGAAATTGGTTTTCCTGTTTTATTTTTCCTCGATACTAATTTGAAGGCATAGAATTTTTGCAAATACCAGTTTTGCCCTTCTATATGAACAGTAGTTCTGAAATTTGGTCAGAAACACTATTGTTTATTAAGTTTCCTATGTATTTCTTCTTTATCTGACTAATTTGGAAATTTGTCCCCTTTAAGTTGATTGAGAAGCTCTCTGTTAAGACACCTACTGGTGAAGTAAAGTTGAAGGTTATGAAGGAAATAGCTAAAGAGCACCAGATTGTATGGGATACAGCAGAATCTGAGAAGGAGCTCCTCAAGCCCCCTGAAGAGCTGATAGTGAGCTCTCTTTCTCTCTCTCTCTCTCTCTCTCTCTTGCTCTCACCCTGTGTATATGTACCAATCTTGAGTTCTTGACTTCAATTTCCAAATTGTGATTTTAGTGAAGTTAACTATGTATGCAGGAGGGACCACGTACATTTGTTAGTGCTGCCAGCATGCCTGTGAAATCACAAAATGTCAAACCAAATGGACCATCTAACAGGTATAATATGCTATAAATTTGGGGAAATAAACTTCTATTTCTCCAACTGTATGTATTTCCATGTTTTGGAATGCCTAATCCCAATCATCCTACAATGCCTTTTGTCCTATCTCAGGTCGATGGATGTTGGAGAACCTAATGTGATACGTTTCAAGGACACAGCTTCAGCTGCTCAAGCAGCTGCAGAATCTGCGAAAAAAGCAATTGCTGCTGCACAAGCTGCTGCACATTTGGCGAATATGAACTCTCACCAAGTGACTGAACAAATCAATATGGAGAATTGGTCTAGCAACAGAGATGTGCTCGAATCCCAGACTGGCGATCATTCTGTGCCAAGGGATCCACCAGTAGTCTCTCAGAACAGAAGTCATCAATCTTCGCTCCCTGGGAGACTAAACGAGTCAAGCTATTTAAGCGATGAGGAGGAGGAGGAGGGGGGCTCCGCCAATTTGGTGGATGGTAGGAAATTTCATAGGAGACATAGCCACAATGTTCCCCCGGAGCATTCAGATATAAAGTTCGATGACTCGGATGGTTTAGACTCAGATTGCAATGAAGAGATTGACATGGAAATGCCTTCGGGTGGCATTAATCCACCACCACCCAATCGGTCTCCTCCACCAATACCTACAGCTCATGCTTATCAGCCTGATGACAGGACAACTAAGTTTGCCTCATGCAAACAGGACTCGGTGCCTCACCTCCATCCTAAACTGCCAGATTATGATGCACTTGCGGCTCGATTTGAAGCTCTTAAAAACCGTAAATCATGAACAGAAAGATAGATATGCATTTGTTGGTTATTATTTTTTTGTCATTATATTTGCTCATATATGTTGTGCCTCTGTTTTTCCTTTGAACAATATATTATATAGTAAGTCTGTACACGGTAGCATTTCCAGAGTAACATATAATCTTTTTTTTTTTCTGTCCCGTGGAAGCCGCTAAGACAGATTTTTTCATTGTTTTCTGTAAATTGGCCCTCTCTCAAAATCCAAATCATTATCACTTTTCTTGGCCGCCTGATTGTATTCGTCACTTTGTCCAAGCAATGCAGTCCCTACAACCTAAGGAC